CATCCACACTTACTACTGTGCAATCTACATTTACAGGACCTTAAACTCCAATATCAACCTTGACCTAAAACGTTTCCTTGATAGTTGTGACAGAATCCACAGGCATAACACCAGACACAAACATCTCTACGACATTCCCCGTGTCCGACTAAACCTTTACAAAAATTCAATATATGTCAAAGGCCCTAAAATCTGGAACACCCTTCCTGAAAACTCTAGAACTGCAGACACATTCATCACTTTCAAAACTACCATTAGAAAACATCTTATCTCCCTGATCCACCCCGACAACTAACTACATGATAACCACCTGGTGGTTCACAATTACACTCACTCACCCACTGACTATAAACCCAGAAATACTAATCTTAATCTTAAAATAATAAATCCTAACTAGTCATAAGTTTGCCTATGATACTCCAATATAGACACTTTGTATTGTGCCAAAACAAAAGCATTCACATTGTTAAACTCACAAATTATGATGTAGTCACTTAGCCTTAATACCATAATCTGTAAGGATTTAATGTTAAGAATTAATCTAAGTCTGCCCGAAACTGCCTAGCCATGCTAGGTGTCCTAGTGGCCCCCTCTGTAATGCCTAGCCATGCTAGGTGTCCTAGTGGCCCCCTCTGTAATGCCTAGCCATGCTAGGTGTCCTAGTGGCCCCCCTCTGTAATTAGTATTTTATAACCTGAAAACCCCACATTGTAAGCCTTATAGAGAATAAACTTGAATTGAATTGAATTGAATATATATATATATATATATATATATATATATATATATATATATATATATATATATATATATATATATATATATATATATATACAATAAACTACGTAACTGCCACTGTAACAAGTGGTACCCACCTGTAAGGTAACTATGTAACTACCACTTAAACTAGGTACCACATGGTACAGGGTTAACTATGGTAACTACCACTTAAACTAGTGGTACCCACCTGGTACAAGGTTAACTATGGTAACTACCACTTAAACTAGTGGTACCCACCTGGTACAGGGTAAACCATCGTAGTTGCCACTTGTTTGAGTCTGAGGATCTCTTATAGAGGTAGCCAGAGTAGTTATGGTCGTGCCTGGCCTTCTCAGCAAGCATCAGAACTTGGTTTTCGTTAATCCTGATTGTTCTTTGCATTTTAGGACTAAGCATTTTCACCGTGTTGGTGATGGTGTTGGTGGTGTTGGTGGTGGAGGCGGTGCTGGAGGCTCCAGCACCGGCTGCTGGAGCCCTGCTGCTTCTTCGAGAGGTGGCAGTGGTGGGGGTGGTAGTGGTGGTAGTGGTGGCAGTGGTGGCAGTGGTGGTAGTGGTGGAGGTAGCGTCCTGGGAGCGCTTCGACGCCCAGAATACTTGATAGGCCTTATGTCACATGGTTATGAGTGGCCCCTTAGGCCTCGCCAACCTACAGAATCTACCCAAAATGGGTCTTTTCACCCACCTATCTACCCAGTGCCGTTTATCCACCCTCCAGATCGCAGCTGGTATCAACCAGCGTCCACTCTAGGCGCTTCGTAACTCAAAAAATCACTAAGGGGGCGATCCAGTTTTGAAATATTTTTATTCTCTCTGTACGGACACCCATGCTCAAAACAGGTCGTTCTAAGGAACGTCGTCCTTCAAACGCTTCATCTAAGTAATTTCTAAGTATCCCGAAAGCCCATTCTCCAAAGAAAGTCCATAATTTTGATTTAGAAGGTCTTTGACCGGGGTGACACGAGGCGACGGGCCTCTGAAGAGACCTATCAGAACGAGGTTCCCAGTGTACACCAGTACGTCTTGAACCGCTGGGACACACACACATAGAAGACACTTGTCCACTTTCTATGACGCACTTTCACACATAATCGTCACTGCTACGGCCACTATAATTTGCAGACCAAAAATGAGTAAGGGGATATCCCAAAATCCAACGGAGGAGCCAGTTACCACATGTCAACAAAACGCAGAACTTGGCGTACCCAGCTGGTGCTGGTCACGGTCCTCTGGTCCCTTGGAGGTTGTCACCTCAGTCGCGTAGCTTGGACGACGTAGTTGTTGTGGTCGTGGATCTCTCAGCGCACGTTTGGGGGGTCGAAATTCCTTTCAGATAAGACCCGATGTCCAATAATCCAGGTTATAATCGTCTTATCCTATATCGGTGGAGGATTTAGTCCCATGCGAATATTCTGGTTCTTACAGTTATGGATCTCTCAGCGAACACTTCGGGGATGTGGGGTCGAAATTCCTCTTCGGCTAAGACCCAGTTACTCTGGAATCCACGTTAGGTTTTCATTATCCCTTAACATTTAGCCTGACACCCAGGCCCTGAATATTCCAGGTCAACTCATGGCCCCCAAATCGCATCCTGACGAATTGCAAAATCCCATCGAATACCAATCCAACAGCCAGGAATCCTTGACTCGAATCCAGACAAATTATTTCTTGGATATGCAGGATGTGGGAGGCTGCGTCACCTCCTCAGTGTCAGTCTGGTCAG